AAGGGGAAAATGAGCCCCAGGTTCCTGCTGTGATCAAACATCAACCTAAGCAAGCGATGCTGGGTCTCCATAGCCAGGGCCGAGGTGCTGAGGGCCAAATTCTTTGCATTGCTAGGACCACGTGCTTATTGCTAGGACCACGTGCTTATTGCTAGGACCACGTGCTTATTGCTAGGACCATGTGCTGTGATGTCTGGCTGCCGGAACACTACTTGCAAGTGAAGAATTTATATTGGACAGCCCCCATCGTAGGCCCATGCAAGAGGGTGGCTAACCCCAAATGACCACTTATATTTGTGGCCCTGGAGGCCAGTGCCCTGGCCCAGTGGGCAAACAACACTGTCCTGGCTCCCAGGCGTTTGGGTCCTTAGCAGACTGACTCTGCAGCTGAAATTGCATTGTGTGTGCGTGTGAGTTAATGAGACATTACCCAATGCCACTGAGTCAATTCTGACTCATAGTGGCCCCATAGGACAGAGTAGAACTACTCCATAGAGTTTCCAAGGCTGTAAATCTTTACAGAAGCAGACCGCCTCATCTTTCTCTCATGGAGCAACTAGTAGGTTTGGACCACCAACCTTTTGGTTAATAGCCTAACGCTTTAACCACTGTACCACCAGAGCTCCTTGAGGATGCCCTGTTATGTTGTTGTTGTTACGTGTCATTGAGTCGGACCCAACTGATAGCAACCCCTCCTTGGGTTTCCAAGGTGGTATCACTACAAAAGTAGATTGCCCAACTTTCCTTCTGAGGAGTGGCTGGTGGGTTTGAACCACCAGCCTTCTGATTAGCAGTCACATGCCTTAGGCAGTATGCTACAGAGCTCCTGAGAGATACACTGGTACATGAAAAACAATTAGGAAGACAGCTTTGGACCATACATACTTGCCCTTCAATAATGATCCGGTTAGCATGTAAACCAGTTTTTTAAAGGAACAAATAAAGCCTGTATTTGCTTTTTTAAAGCCCAGGTATTTTCAATGCTGAATTACTAACTTTTTAAAGGTGAGCTAAATTTGAGTACTGCCACATAGAGTCAAGCGCCAGGGCACCATTCTCCTGCCAGCTGGATGGCCTTGGCTAAAATTACTGTGCCTCTAAGTCAGTGTAGACACTTCCGAAGTGGGGGAAAGGTCTCCGCCAGTCTCCTCAGGTTGTCACATGACGGGGGGTCATGCATGCACGCAATGAAGTATATCTCACAATAAAATGACGATCCGGTGCCAAAATGAAAGGGGGGGGCATTGCCCCTCTGATCTCAGGGGAGAGTTGCTCCAGTGGGTCCCAGGGATTAAACTGACATCAGCTTTCTTCCCCTTATGCACAGGAACTGCTTTCCCAAACAGACAGCGGCCCAGGTCACCCTCAAGGCGATCTCCGCCCACTTCGATGACTCCAGCGCGTCCTCGCTGAAGAACGTTTACTTCCTGCTCTTCGACAGCGAGAGCATCGGCATCTACGTGCAGGAGATGGCCAAGCTGGACGCCAAGTAGCCGCATGGCAGGGTTCGCCCACAGGAACCGAAAGAGGATGGATTCAGTCATGAGAGCGGGGTTTTATTTTTCACAAGGAGAGCAGAGGGTGACGCAAGGAGGCCGAACGGTGGGAGCCCGGCCGCCTCCGCCAAGGCACCTCCACATTTTATATTCTGGTAAAAAGAGCCTACGTATGTAATTAGCCAGGTCTCCAGGAGGGTTTTCTTTCCCTGTGTTTTCTTCCTGTTCTTTTAGGACTTTTTTTCTTTTTTTTAACAGACCTCGTTTTAGATTTATAGCCTTGACTTTTACACACACATACACATCCTTTCACATTTCCTAGCATCTTCTGTCCACCCCCCTTTTTTTTCCCCCACCCCCCGAAGGAAGAGTGACTTGGGCGTTGTTTGTTGTCTGTGTTCCGTGATGGAGAGAAAATTGGAAAGACATTTCACTGGTGCTTTTCTGTTTCAGTGTCCCCACCCTGAGCCCCAATAATATCTGTAACGACTCCTGAAAAGTTTTTGCTTCAGTCTTTTTTTGTTTTTTAAAGAAAAAGAAAGGACAAAAAAAAAAAAAAAAAAAAAGAACTAAGTGTATTTCTTAAACTTTATTATTTTATTGCAACATTTTTCTGTTGTAAAACTGTCCCCCGAGGTTGGCTACTTCTAGAATGTGATCAATGGAGGCCTGTCACTAATAGGCTAGACTCAGAGGCATAGCACCTAGGGCAATCTCTAAATTGGACCCACCTGCACTCCCCACCCCCACCCCCGCCAATTTCAAGATGAATATTAGTTGATAGTGGCAATATGTCAGCAGAAAACACTTCCTGCCTCTGTCCAGCTGCCAGAGTTAGGCGCCTTTCATATTTGTGGTGCCTCAGAATGTCATCTGGTATCTCTTGTGGTGCCCCCTTGAACTTGTGACCAGGGGCAGTGCCCCCCTCTGCACCCCACTTCTGGATGTGCTTGAAGAAGGACATTGGGCCATACCAGGTTAATAGGAATTACTCAGCGGCACCCCCCCCTCAAGTGGATCCCAGAGCACCTGCCATAACTTAGATATGCCCGTGGCTAGGCTCCCACCACGCTAGGCCCCAGATCATGCAGCACCATAATGACCTGTTTCTCAGGCAGCAGATCCTGCTCCTGGAACGGGGAGCCTTGCTGGTGGATGTCTGCCAGCCCTGGGCGAAGCCCCCATCTACAGTGCCTCTGCTATTTAACTCAGATGGGGTGGCCATCCTTCAGACACATAGGCCAACAAAATGGAACAGAGCCTGGGCCCTCAGGCTGAGAACCCCTGTGAGGCTGGTGTCCCAACAACTCTGGCCACGTACCCAGAGGACACCATCAAAAGCAGGGAGGACTATGGGGCAGTGCCACTCTGTCCTATAGGGTTTCTATGAATCAGAATCAACAGCAACCAAAAAAAGAAAAGGGGCAGGAAGCAGCAGCACCAGGAGGGGCGGGGCTTGAATTTATTCAGATGAACTAATCAACAGGAGCTCTGGTAGCATAGTGCCTAAGGCACTTGACCACTAACCAGAAGGCTGGCGGTTCAAACCCACCAGCCACTCCTCAGAAGGAAGGTTGGGCAATCCTACTTCCGTAGTGATACTGCCTCGGAAACCCGAGGCGGGGTCGCTATGAGTCGGGGCGACTCGAAGGCAAATAACAACAACAACAACAACAATCAACTACTTCTACAGAGGTTTAACATAGGTAGTCTAAAATGGTATCCTCCCTATTGGAAATTTTCTCCCAAAGAGATCAGCACCAATTGCTGTCAAGCAGATTCCAACTCATGATGACTCCACATATGTCAGAGTAGTCAGGATAGAACTGTGCTCCACAGGGTTTTCTGTAGCTGGTTTTTTGGAACTGGATTGCCAGGCCTTTCTTCCGAGGTACCTCTGGATGGACATTGCCAGGTCTTTCTTCTGAGGTACCTCTAGATGGACTTGGACCACCAACCTTTTGATTAGCAGCCAAGTACTTAATGATTTGTACCACCCAAGGACTCCCTCCCACATACAGGAGTCATTCCTGTACCTTAAGATTCAGTCGGTAGCAGGCATAATTGCCAAGTAGCCAGGCCTCCAGATAAGGTTCCTTTCAGACCCCTGGCATTCAGCTGGAGTGCTGTCACAAGTCTGCCCATGCCTGAAGGCTGGCAATGCAGGTGTCACCTGCCAACCATGCCTCTGCTCCCTTACCCAGATCACAACCCACCAAAGATCACTTCAGCTAAGCTGCCTTTCCATGAACATCTCCAGTGCTTGGCAGGCTGGGCTTTGGTCTCAACTCCTGGTAACTTTATAAACACTCACTCTCTGTTAGGATGGATCAACCCAGGAGGGAACTTTTGCCTAACTCCTCTTAAATGTAACCTATGGTGTGTAATCAGGATCTAAAAATGGAAACACGGAACATTTCATTAAGAGTAAAGCATGTAGGGAATAGTTAGAAGTGGTTTAAAATCGAACTTCTTACTCAAGATTTACAAGGAAAAATGATGAATCAGTACATTTCCAGCAGCAGGCTTGAATCCAATCTTGGTTTCCTTACCTGTCCAGGGAGGCTAATGACCCCGTGTTCTTGGGCTTTGTGTGACAATTCAGAGGGATGCCTGAGAAAGCCTGAGGTAAATTGTAAACCTTTTTATCAGCCCTAGTTGTGAGTATCATTTCTGGTTCCTGGGGACAAGCTCATTATGTAATTTGTCTAATTGGATTCAGACAGAAAGAAGTGATAACATGTATTGAGTACTATGTGTCAAGTTCATATCTCATTGAATGTTAATCACTTCCTAAACTAAGTTGCACAAGTGCAGGAACCATGTATGTGGCACAGTGACTGGTATATACAGGTGCTTAATAAATATTGTTTTTGATTAATTAATGAATAGGAGATGTTCTAGAAATAAATACTGAATTAAAAACTAATTAGGCTCCTATTAACAACTCCCCATTTCACATTGGTGGTACAAGAGGTATGAACCCCCACCCTCTGATGTAACAGGAGACACCCTCTGATGTGATGGGAGAGGTATGGGTACAAGCTGACTCTCCATCCCAGCTCCCGTGCCTTAGCAGATCTCACTGTAGACAGGCCTTCCTGCCCTTACCTAGGGGATGGCAGCCACCTAGCTCTCTCCTTTCCCTACTCGGAGAATGCTGAATGCCAGTCTCTATCCTCCTACACAACAAACCCAAGAGGTGCCTGAGGTAGAGGAGACTGGCTGTCCCCTCCTCGAGACCACGAGAGTCACTCAGCCAGCAGAGATGCAAGCAGACCTTTCCAAACCCAGAAAGAACCCTCTTAGGGGTGTCTTTTAATTCCCCTCTGTCTCAGTTTTTAAAGTTGGTTTTACACAAGTTTTATCTCCAATCAGTACACTGTTGGCCTTTGACTCTAGAAAAGCAGCTTTGCTTTTTGGCACTTGTTAGACTGGTGCCATCTGCCCAGCAGCCCATTCGCCTGTCTGCGGTGAACCTCAGCCTTTTGTCCAGCCTGCCCATCAGGGTGGAGACTGCCTCATGGTTTTCCAGCTCGTGGAGACAAACAGGTCCCGGCTCTTGGCCAACCGAACCATGAGCCGACCCACATAAAAGCCACTGATCTGACCCACGCCATCATTTCTTCCCATGGCCAGGAGGAATGTCAGTGCACCTATGGAGAGAAGAGACATGGAACCGAACTAAAACCATGCTTAACATTCACAAGGCCACATGTCCCAGAGCTCAAAACCCAGGGGTGTTCAGTTTCTAGGCAAGGAAATGTGTGAAACTCTCAAGAAGGTATATGAATCCAACTCATGCTTAAAGAGTTCTAGGGGGGTGTTCTATCACCAACTCTTGAGAGTTTGTTCTAGTGGTCAGTCATCTTAAAATACAGAAAAGTTCTGCCACACTAAAGCATGTGGCTTCCCTTACCAGGTTTGTAGGCCTTGAGGGGCCTCTGTTTCATGGAGTTGACGATGTTGGTCACAACGATGTTGGCATGCAGGCTGGCATGATAGGCCATCTTGGGCTCCTTCACGTCAGCACAGTCACCAATGGCGTAGATGTTACTGTAGCCCTCCACCTGGAGGTACTCGTTAACTCGAAGGGCACCATTGTCAGCCATTCTACTCTCTGCTGGGCAAGATGAACACCAAAAGCAAGAAGCTTAGTTGCCATTTTAAGTGGCCACCAGAGAGAGGTGAGGATGAGCCTAGATACTGGCCAAGTCACTCTCCAAATGTACACCCTCAGAAGACAATTGTTCTCCCAATTTATTCCTGCCTGGAGGTCCTATCTCAGAACTCTTTCAGGAAAACAGGGTTACTGATTCCAGTGTACAAACTGGTAAAAAAAAAAAAAGCCATTCCCATTGAGTCAATTTCAACTCAATGCAACCCAACAGTAAACTGTAGGACAGAGTAGAACTAGCACCTAGCGTTTCCTGGCCTGTAATCTGTACAAAAGCAGACTGCTTCATCTTTCTCCCGTGGGGCAGCAGACCTTTCGGTTAGCAGCCAACTGCATAACCACCGCACTTTGAAGCTTCAAACTGGGCTCCTTGCTGTCATAAATAACAGTAAGTTTCATTTTATAAAATACACATAACTCTTTATAAGTTACAATTTCCTTATGAACATGGATGAGATTTTTCCAATAAATGCAGGGCTTTAATAAATAATGAACTGCGTTTCTTTTTTAAAGAGACTTAAAAAGAACGTATCTTTGAAAATACTAAATTAGGACAATTGCCTATTAAATTATGGGATCTCTGTCTATTATAAACCCTCAATCCCACCCCTACACACAGCTGGGCCTAGCTTCGATCTTCTGAGGTTGGATAATTACTTCCTCCCAGACACAAGGCAAGAGCTCCTTGTTGGGAAAGGGTACTCTTAAATAATGGGGACACAAAGAGACTCTAAGACACATCAGCCCACCTGCCCCTATCTCCAGTTGGCTATTCAATATTGAGCTTAAAAAACATGAGGCCATGTTATTGGCCCTGTTCCCAAAACAGGTGCTCCAAGCACAAGTGATCAAATGTTTGGGTTGGGGTCTGAGGAGTGCAGCACATCTCACCAGGTCAGCAGACCTGACTCGGAATTCCTCTGCATGGGGGTAAGAAACAAAATGGGGATCTTTCTAGATGCTCTGAAACCTGTTCCCATGTTATGACCACTAGAGGGCATGCCTGAATTTTGGAAGATTCTACTCAGTTTGGCTACCTTCCCACAGCTGAGGAAAGCACAGCAAGAGTAGAGCCCGTCCTGAATTTAAAGTCTGATGCTGGCATTCGGAAGAGACCAAAGAAGCTGCTGAGATGAAAGGGGAAAAGAAGGATGGTGGCGATTCCTGAGGAGAGGACTGCAGGCGGAGCACGCAGAATAGTGAGGTGGCAGCCCGGGAAACAGGCCATCTCTTGGCCGCCCGCTTACCAAATGCACTGCGGTAAGCAGAGCTGTTGATCTTGATGCCATTGCAGAGGATCACCAGGTTGGTAGCCACCTCCGTGCCTTTGTCTGTCACCACTTTGATGTACTCTCGGTACTCATTGAGAGGCAGTTCCTCCAGGTTGCTCACCCGCTCACCTGTCACATGGGGTAGGGGAGTTCCATGACTAGGAGGCCAGCAGAGGGCAGATGCAGCAAGGCCAGGCCCATACCAAGGCTGAGCCTGGGGAAAGCTAGACCCCTGTGGCCCAACTAGGACATTACTCCATTCCCATCTTCCCACCATGCCCCTCCCCCAGCCCACTTTCCAAGAAACAGGCTGGACATCTAGTCCTAAGGGTTCCAATTGGAGGAGAGTTCTAAGAAGCCATTTGGGAAGTGAGTCTGAATTTCCCAAGAACCTCTGGGAAAAGCTATTCAACCTAAAACCTCAAACACACCTCTCTGAATGCCAGCTCCAAGTACACCATCAACAAAGGTGGAAGCAAGAGAAGTCAGAGAAGCCAGCTTATGATGCTCACTGCTTGAAAGTACAGGTGATACCAGGTACTAAAAGGAGGCTGGAGGGGCATGAGGAACATCTCAGATCAAACACCTCAACCCCCTCCCTGTTACAAATGAGGAGATGAAGGCCCGGTGTGGTGAAGTGTGGGGTTACCCTATTGGGATCAGAGCCCCATTCTAAATTACTACATGGTTCTCATCCCTCTTCCTCTGGATACATACCACACTCCTTACCAACCTCAAAATACAAACCACTAGACCTATTCCTTCTATCACTGAGACATCATAATTCAGGTCAAATCTTTTAGATGATTTTTTAATGGTTCACGAAATGCAAATCCTACCATCTACTGCACTGTACATAAATCGATAGCCAGGACACTATTGCCAGACATTAATGCATGTTATAGAGTGAATTGTGTCCTCAAAAAAACGTGTATCAAAAACCTGGCCCCTGTGCCAGTGGACCTGACCCTGCTTGGAAATAAGGATCTTCTGTTGTTATGTTAATGACATCAGGCCCAAGTAGGGTGGTCCTACACCTAGTCCCTTCTGAGTTAGAAAAAGAGCAGAACAGACACAGAGACACACACTGGGGAAGAGAGATGTCATGGGAGGATGCGTCTACAAGCAAAGGAATGCCAAGGATTGCTGGCAGACTTGAGAAACTATGAAAGAGTCTCACAGAAGAGATTGATATGGATGACACCCTGGTTTGGACTTTTAGCCTCTAGAACTATGAGAAAATAAATTTCTGTTCTTTAAAGCCACTCCCTTGTGGTATCTTTTGTTATGGCAGCACTAGGTAACTAAGATAGTACTCAAGATGGTTTCTGAGGTACTTCATGCTCAACTCCAGGAGATAACAGAAAACCAAGATCCTGGGGTTGACCACAGCCGCCCTCAAGGTGGAGGCAGTGACCAACCCATAGAGCCAAATCTCACCAGGCCAGAGAGAGGGCTAGGGAGGGAGACGAAGCTGCACCTACCCAACAGCAGTTGCACGCCTTTCCGGAGAAGGATCTCCTTCACTTCCTGCCGGACACAAGGCAGGAGCTCTTTGTCAGCAAGGGGTACTTGGGAGTGAATGAGAGTGACCTAGGGGGAAAAAAAGCACAAGGACTGAGAAGGAGGCACTGAGATATATGTAGAAGTTTCAGAACACATTAGCTCAAACTTTCACCCAAATCGTAATAAAAATTTAAATAAATAAATAAAATGTTAAGATGTTAAAAAAAAAAAAAACATTAGCCCATCTCCCCTGCCCCACCTCCCATTTACAGATGAGAAAACTGAGGCCTCAGAAAAATAACTTGCCCAGTGCTAGTGAGTTCACATCTCCAATGCCTAGTCTAGGACTTTCAGTTCTACCCTGCTACCCCAGGGCCAGAGGACCAACAAAGTTCCATTGCTCTACAATCCACAGCTCATCTGTGGCCACTGAAAAATTGTTTTCAAGCATCCTTGGACACTTACACAATTTATCTAAGTCATGGACCTTCTAAATATAAATCACGCTGGTATTCATATTGAAGGGGCTCCAAAATCACCCACGAACAAAGCAAGAGGTCATTAAAAAGACGAGACAGGAAGAAAAGACCAAACTGGAATCAGAAGAGACTTTGAAACTTGCCCTTGAGCTGAGAGTAGCTAAAGCAAATGAAAGAAATGACAAGATAAAAGAGCTGAACAGAAGATTCCAAAGAGCAGCTCCAGCAGATAAAGCCAATTACTATAATGAAATATGCAAAAGATCTGGAGTTAGAAAACCAAAAGGGAAGAATACACTCGGCCTTTCTCAAGCTGAAAGAATTGAGGGAAAAATTTAAGCCTTGAGTTGCAATACTGAAAGATTCTATGGGCAAAATATTGAATGATGCAGGAAGCATCAAAAGAAGACAGAAGGAATACACAGTCACTGTACCAAAAAGAATTGGTTGACTTTCATCCATTTCAGGAGGTGGCATATGTTCAAGAACCAATGGTACTTAAGGAAGAAGCCAAAGCTGCACTGCAGGAATTGGTGAAAAAGAAGTCTCCAAGAATTGATGGAATACCCATTGATGTTTCAACAAACAGATGCCCCAATGGAGGCACTCACTCGGTTATGCCAAGAGATTTGGAAGACAGCTACCTGGCCAACCGACTGGAAGAGAACCCTATTTGTACCCATTCCAAAGAAAGGTGATCCCACAGAATGTGGAAATTGTCAAACAATATCATTAATATCGCACGCAAGTAAAATCTTACTGAAGATAATTCAAAACCAGTTGCAGCAGTATATTGACAGAGAACTTCCAGATGTAAAAGCTGGATTCAGAAGGGGACATGGAATGAGGGATATCATTGCCAATGTCAGATGGCTCTTGGCTCAAAGCAAAGAATACCAGAAAGATATTTACTTGTATTTTATTGACTGTACAAAAGCATCTGATTGTGTGGATCATAACAAATTATGGGTAACATTGAGAAGAATGGGCATTCCAGAGCACTTAATTGTACTTATGAAGAACCTGTACATAGACCAGGAGGGTGTTGTTCAAACAGAACAAGGGGATACCGCATGGTTTAAAATCAAGAAGGAAGTAAGTCAGGGCTGTACCCTTTCACCATACTTTTTCAATCTGTATGCTGGCAGATAATCCGAGAAGCTGGACTACATGAAGAAGAATGTGGCATCAGGACTGGAGGAAGGCTCGTTATCAATCCGTGATACACTGATGACACAACTTTGCCTGCTGAAAGTGAGGATGACTTGAAGCACTTACTGATGAAGACTGAAGAATACAGTCTGCAGTATGGATTACATCTCAATATAAAAAAAACAAAAATCCTCACAACTAGACCTATAAGCAGCATCATGATAAACAGAGTAGACTGAAGTTGTCAAAGACTTCACATTGCTTGGTTCTACAACTGACAACTGGAAGCAGCAGTCAGGACATCTGACGACATATGTTGTTGTTGTTATGTGCTGTCGAGTCGGACCCGACTCATAGTGACCCCTCCATATAGCACTGGGTAAATCGGCTGCAAAGAACCTCTTTCAAGTGCTGAAGAGCAAGTTGTCTCCCTGAGGACTAAGGTACACCTGACACAAGCCATGGTATTTCCAGTCACCTCATATGCATGTGAGAGCTGAACAATGAATAAGGAAAACCGAAGAAGAGTTGATGCTTTTGAGTTGTGGTGCTGGGAAAGAATGCTGAAAGTTCATGGACTGCTAAAAGAACTCCAGATCTGTCCTGGAGGAAGTACAGTCGGAATGCTCCTTAGAAGCGAGAATGGCCAGACTTCGTCTCATCTACTTTGGTCATGGTGTCAGAAGAGACCATTCCCTGGAGAAGGATGTCATGCTTGGTAAGGTGGACGGTTGACGGAAGAGGGGAAGGCCTTCAACGAGATGGACTGACATGGTGGCTGTGCCAATGGGCTCAAGTATAGCAAGGATCATGGAGTTGGCACGGGATCGGGCGGTGTTTCATTCTGCTGTGCATAGGGCTGCTATGAGTCAGAGATGACTCGATGGCACCTAACAACAACAAAATCAGCACTTCCAGACATGTTTCTATGAGCTGTCTGGGGCAGCACAGGGAAGTGGGAGGCAGCCTGGAATAAGGTTCAGAGCTTAGGCTTTGGAATCAGACTGCCTGAATTGAAATCCCATCTCTGATACTCACTTGGAAACTCCCAAAGCCTCAGTTACATCACTGTAAAATGGAGAGAATAGGAACTTTGCAATGAGAAAATATGTATAAAGCATGTAACTTAGCACATATAAAGTTCTCACTAAAGGTCGGCTACTATTGACTTAAGGAATCCTGGTGGCATAGTGGTTAAGCACTCGGCTGCAAACTGAAAAGTTGGTGGTTCAAACCCACCAGCTGCTCCACAAGAGAAAGATGTGGCAGTCTACTTCCATAAAGATTACAGGCTTGAAAACCCTATGGGACAGTTCTACTCTGACCCATAGAGTCACTGGGAGTCAGAACTGACTGACAGCAATGGGTTGGGTTTTAGTTTACGTTGATCTTATTAGTCGAATAATTATAAACATATGGAAAGTAAACTGAGTTACTTGAAATTATTTACTGCTTTAGACTGGTCTTTAAGCCCACGAAACAAAAGGAATAAACTTTAACTATATCAATCATTATAATTTCCAACAATTTGTCAGAAAATAGTCATATCATTAAATTAGCCCTATTGATTTTTCTTTTAAAAACCAACCTGCCTCTCCCTAGAGGAACAGAGCCATTCGTAGGCTTTGAGCAGCTCTCAGAAGCTGATTTGGCATCAGCTGCAGGCAAGCTCCTGCCTTAAAAAAAAAACCTTGCTGTTGAGTCAATTACAACTCATAGAAACCCTATGAGACAGAGGAGAACTGCCCCACAGGGTTTCCAAGGCTGTAAATCTTTATGGAAGCAGACTGCCTCATTGTTCTCCCATGGAGAGGCTGGTGGGTTCGGACCACTGTCCTTTCAGTTAGCAGCTAAATGCTTTAACCTGCACCACCAGGGCTTCTTAGCTCCTCCCTAGAGGCTCTATAATTACTGATCAACACTCAGCCCTCGGCCAAGCCTTGCCACCACACCAGGGTTTCTTCTTTCTCTCCAGGTTTGCCAGGCTCTAGAAGGGAGCATTAGAAGGGAACAGGAGAGGCCTATGACACCACCCCACCCTACCCCACCTCTGTGGGTAGAAAGCAGTGCCAGCCAGGCCTTCCCCAGCACAGACACTCAAGGGCCTGACTATAGGTTCTCACTGGGCAGAGACCACAGTGTGGCTCCACAGTTGGGGCTACAGTCTGAGGCTACAGAAGAAAAAGACCAAAAAGGCCACAGCTCGCCCCAGAAAAATAACCAGTTGAGGGTGCTTTGTCCAAGCAAGTGGTCAGCAAGAAGAGGTCATTAGATTCTATCTGTCTATCACAAAGTCAGTTCCAACTTACGGCAACTTCCTGAATTACAGAGTAGAACGGTTCCATAGGATTTCCTTGGCTGTAATGCTCTGGTGGCACAACAGCTAAGTACACGGCTGCTAACCAAAAAGTTGGAGCACCCAGGGGCTCCAGAGGAGAAAGACCTGGCAATGTGCTCCGGTAAAGATTACAGCCTATGGACAGCTCTACTCTGTGACACGGGGTCACCCAAAATCAACTTTATGGCACTAACAGCAGCAATCTTCATGAAAGCAGATTGCCCGGTCTTTCTTCCACAGCATTGCCTCGCAGGTTCAAACCACCAACTTTTCCATTAGTATTCAAGTGTAAACCCTGTGTGCCACCGAGGGACCTGACTGAAGGGGACAAGGAATTGTAAGCTTGTTAGTGTTTTTTTGCCTGTCTGCCTCTGGGTGTTTCCCTGGGACTTTATTCTCCTGCTTGAGTTCAGAGGGCAGGACTGCCTGCTGAACCGGGCCACACCCAGAACAGCTTGGTTCTCTACATGAACTTCAGATGCAGAGGGTTCCTGCTCTTGCAGAAAAACTCCCTGCAGAGTCACACTTTAGGGGATTCCCCAGTGCAGAGCACAGATGGGAAAAACACACTTCACATATGTCAATGGGCCTCCCACCTCCCCAGCCTTGGGCAATTTCCGAAGGTTCCTTAAAAATGAAGATAAAGCAGAAAGAAGCCAAACCACTGAGAGTTCAAGGCCAAGGCCTGGATCACCCCACCTCCTTCTCAGGATACTCAGTTTTAATCTCTGCTGCCATCTCCACTCCTGCAGAGCCTCCTCCCACCACCACGATGAACTGTGAGCTCTGGACCTGATTGAGGAGAAGGAAATGTCAAACATGCCCACAAAACCATCCCCTGCCACCTAGGTCAGCAAGTGGTGTGGGTTTCTTGGCCAAAGAAGAACAGAGAACACAGGACTCCCTTTCCAAATGTGGGATACAAATTGGAGTACTTCCTCAGGGCCAGGCATTGGTGGGGTATTTCCCCTGCATGCTCCCATTCAATCCTCATAAAAGCCCCATGCAGCGGGTATTATTATTAGTCCACCTTACAGACGAGCATGACCCAGGCCTCAGTCCAAAGCCAGGTTCCTAACCTACACACTAACATCTGCTCATTGCTGTACAAGAGGATCCCCGGGCCTCTCAGAAGCTTTGCAGAGACACCTGGCCTTTGTCCCTTAATAGCACTCACCATGATCTCTGTGGTGGTTAAGGTCGTATGTCAACTTGGCTGGGCCTGGTCGAGTGCTGGGCAACTGGGTGCAGTTATTCCCCATGGTAAGATTGGTAATTAACTCCATGGTGGAATCTATAGGAGCAGCTGAGTAGTTGTTTTAGGGGTGTGGGCTGCTTCCAGTATATAAGAAGCAACTTTGAAGAAGGTCTCCAGCTGATGGCACGCTTGAACTCTGCGTGCAGCTGCCAATCTTGGGACTTTCAATGGACTTGACTCAATGGCCTGCCGTGTGGTTTGGTAATATCAGGATTGTGCCTGTTTACTTGTCGACCTTGGGTCTGTCAGCCTCAGCAGCCAGCAGCTGCCTGAGTGGAGAGATGCCACTTCAGTGGGCTGGGAGCAGGAGGCAGAGCTGAAGCCCAGGGTCAAGGGGCTTTCACCCAGCCCCTAGAGCCTGGCACCTGGAACTTAGACTTCTAGCGTCCAAAACTGTATGAAAATAAACTCTGTTTGTTAAAGCTATCCCATTTGTGGTATATTCCTGCCAGAGCGGCACTAGGTAACCAAAACAATCTCCCTCTGGGTATCCATTCCTCACCTGTTAAATAATGGCATTAGATCCTGCCCCATACTCTCTCAGTACTGCTGGGGAAACTGAGACCACAGACACCTGTTGTTGTTGTTGTTATGTGCTGTCAAGTCGGCCCCAACTCATAGCGACCCCTCCTTGGGTTTCCAAGGTGGTATCGCTACGGAAGCAGATCGCCCAACCTTCCTTCCGAGGAGTGGCTGATGGGTTTGAACCGCCAGCCTTCTGGTTAGCAGTCAAGTACTTTAGGCACTATGCTACCAGAGCTCCCCCACAGATTCTAGCCTGCTCTTAAAACACATGCACTGCTCTAACGGGAGGTACTGTGCATATGAAAAGCCCCAAGAGAAATGAGTCTGGGACAGGGACATGTCTATCAGCAATGTAAGTGGGTCTGGGGACCCCATTCCCAGGCTTTGATGACAGGTCCAAAGGTCCTCTTGTTGGAAGTCTCTTTGTCCTAACTGCTGTGTGACTACAGCTGCCTGGCTCTCCCAGCTCTCCTGCTGTAGGATGGGGCCCACCTGGTCTGTCCCCCCTCCCTGCCCCCAGACCCAGCCCTGCCCCAGTCAGTTGGCCAGCTCACCTGCCTCACCATGTCCTCGTAGGCCTGGATGGCAGCCTGCTGGCTGGAAACCTGGTTAAACTTGCCAGGGAAGGGCCCAGAGCTGCCTGTGGCCAGGACAAGATGTGAGAAGGGCAGAGCCTATGAGGACAAGAAGAAGGTGAGGGTAGGTCAGGGTAGGCAAGGCCAGGGCCTCTGCCCCCCACAACAGCCCCCCACCAGCCCAGGAGAACTAAGTGGAAGCAGCTCCTCCGGGCACATAGAGGCAGCTCTGGGTTTGAGGGGAGAAACATCACCAAACTGGTTAGGTCGAGGGATGCCACTAGAACCTGGAGAAATCCCTAAGGTGGAGACCATACTTCCTAACTGGTAGAACTCCTGAGTGAGTGACCAGAACCATACCACACAGAAACTGGGAGGCTCAGCTCCCACAGCGGGAGGCAGGGAAGCAGGGAACTGAAAACGATTTGGTGGGAATAAGCAGGATTCTAGCTCCCAAAGTGCAATTAGTTTAGAATCTCCTGGGTATTTTTGAAAAACCCTTTCTCCTAATACTTCCCTCCCGAAAAAAAGAAATCTCATTTGGAGCCTAAATATAGAAAATTGACCCAAACACAGAGCTGTTCTGCTAGAAGGGGGCAGAGAGTGCTAGGTCTTCTGGACCCCCTCTACCCCCCTGAAGGCCTGAGAGAAACACGAGGACCCCTCCAGGACTGTGAGAAATAGGGCCAGAAACCACAGGACTAGGAGACTCTCAGATATTTTTGGCTAGGAGATTCTCCAGCCCTAAAATTAATTCAAAGAGGATAGAGTCACACTAAATTACATACTCATTAAGGGTAGGAGCTGTCTCCTTTTTTTTTTTTTTTTTTTTTGATTCCTCTTACTTCTGAATGCAGAATTGGGGGCTGGGCCTGGAAGTGACCCTCAATGGCATGGATGAATTGGTGGTAGCTCATTGATGGAGCTCCAGTTAGGGCAGGGAGGATATGCCAGGCCTTGTGCCATACCCAGGGTCCTTCAGTGGCACAAATGGTTTGCATTCATTCCAACCTAAAGGTTGGTAGTTCAAACCCACCCAGTGGAACTGTGGAAGAAGCTCTGGTAATCTGCTTCTGTAAAGATTCCATCCAAGAAAAGTCTATGGAGCACAGTTCTATTCTGTAACACACGGGCTGTTATGAGTCAGAATCGACTCAACGGCAATGGGTTTGGTTTGGGTTTGGTGCCATACACTGAGGGTGAGGAATACAAGCATGCATGAAGAAAAACTTCCATCCCCATCAAACTCCAGGAGATGTGAGAGCACACAGGTTTGGCCATGAGTCTAAACTTCGATTCTAGATAGTGAGGAGGCCTCCTGGGCTGGCCAGGCCTGGTACTGGTCTAGGACACTGGCTTATAGAGGCTGAGCTCTGGGGTGAAACTGTCTAGGTTCAAATGCTCCCTTAGTCTCTTACCAGCTATGGGATCTTGGGCAAGCCTCTCAGTAAAATGAGGTTATACATATATGTCATAGGGTCACCAAACCAAAAACCAAACTCACTGCCATCAAGTCGATTCTGACTCGCAGTGACCCCCAGAAATAGATCACCCTATCTTCCTTCCACAGAGCAGCTAATGGCTTTGAACCACTGACCTACTGGTTAGCAGCCAAGTGCCTTATCCAAATGCCACCAGAGCTCCTTCATAGAGTCACAGTGAACATTAAATAAAATGTATATAAAGGTTTAGAACAGTGTAATGCACACCGGAAAGGCTCAAGAAATATCTGTCACTATATTCTTGTCACTACAGAGGTCAAGGATTTGTCTACTGAGAATCTACTATCTGTCTAGCCCCAGGCTAAGGCTCAAGGGTCAAAGATGACTCTCTCTCCCAGAAATCCAACAGTGTGTTCTCTGGAAACCCTGAGGCCAGTGGATGGGTCAGCCTCCGCGGCACTCACCTCACCGCCCTGCAGCTGCACCGTCTGATTCTTCAGGTCTATCCCGACCACCATGCCCTGCTGGAAGTTGTCCTTAAAGGTCACTGAGTAGGAAATGAATGTCTTTTTCGCAAACCCTGGGAGATGAACACAGAAAAGGTCACAGTGCAGATCTGCGGCTGCCAAGGGGAAGCCAGAACAGCCCAGAACCTTTCCTGATCTGCATACCAACAGGAGCACCTTTGGCCAATCAGATGGGTGGGCTCCCCCTCCTCCATGTCCCCTAAAGTCCCAGCCTGGGCCTTGAATTCTCAGAGAAGTTCAAGTTTACTTCCAGAGCCTTTTTATGGTAGCTTCGTAGAGGCCAGTGACTTCAAGATTCTCTGGAATTTGTGTAATGGCAGAATTTTGGTGGAGAACACTGTCATCAGCCTGTGTGCCAGGACAAGACCACTCTCACAAAGAAAGTTCTAGAAAGGGCAAACATTACCACTCTCCACAGAGGCCCGGAGGGCTGCCACATTGTGGTGGAAGGAGTCCTTCATGTCCACCAGCGTGAAGGGGACATTAAGCGCTTGGAGTTGACTGGCAGCTGCCATCCCTCCGAAGCCCCCGCCCACGATCACCACGTGCACAGATCCCACGTCCATTGAGACCTGGGACCCCATCTCGAACCAGGTACTGCTGGAAAAGTAGGGGAGACCCAATCAGAATCAGCAGGGGCAGAGAGGGCCGGGGGTTGAGGTATGGGCCCACAACAAGAAAGGCTACGAATGCTAAAGCTTGGCCTTTTTATATTATGTAATCATTTACTAATGAACTTTCAATTTCATAAAATTTGAACTAAATTCTGAAGGAACAAGAGATCCTATTTCCACACCACCCTGTTCCCTTCTCCAGAGCCATCCACTGTTACCAATTTCTTATGAATCCTTCCAGAGAAGAGTCTATACTCCTTTAATCATGATGATTTTTTGCACACATTAAACAAACTGTTCTACCCTTTTTTTTTCCATTTAATATACTTCATCAAAGACTTTTAAAGAGAGGAGTAACATTTACTCAACAGCAATACATTTACAGCTTCTACTCTCTGACACACTCTATGCTACAATCTTCTAGTCAAGACAGATAGGCAGATATGGTCCCTGCCCTGATAAAGGCCAAAACCAAACCAAACTCACTGGCATCAAGTCAATTCCGACTCACAGCAACCCTCATCGGGTTTCCAAGGCTGTATATCTTTACAGAAGCACACTGCGTCATCTTTCTTCCATGGAGCAGCTGGTGGTTTGAACTGACCTTTTGGCTATCAGCCAAATGCCACTAGAGCAAACTCAAAAGGCCAGACTGTGATGGTTAGTTTTATGTATCAATTCTTAACTGTTGTTATGTGCCACTGAGTCGAATCCAACCCATAGCAGCTCTATAGGACAGGGTAGAATTGCCCCATAGAGTTTCCAAGGCTATAATCTTTATGGGAGCAGATCTTCAGGTCTTTTCTCCCATGGGGCCATTGGTGGATTCGAACCGCTGACCTTTCGGTTCATAGTTGAGCACTTAACCACTGCACCGCCAGGGCTCCTTGGCTCAGCTACAGCACCCAGTTATTTAATCAAATCTAGGTGTTGCTGTGAAGATACTCTATAGATGTGGCTAACATCTACAGTCAACTGATTGAAGTTAAGTAAAGGAGATTGCCCTCAATAATGTGGGTGGGCCTCATCCAATCAGTTGAAAGCCTTAAGAGCAAAAACTGGGTTTAGTAAGAAATTCTGCCTCAAGATGCAACATTAACTCCTGCTGAGTTTCCAGCTTGGTGGCTGCCTGAAGATTTCGAACTTACTAGCCCCTACATTTGAATGAGGCAAAGTCTTAAAATAAATCTCTTAAGAAAGAGAAAGTGTGTGTGTGTCCTGTCTGTTCTATTTCTCTGGAGACCCGGACAGGTGGGTAATATAACTGTGGGGCAAAGGTGCAGGTGTACAATAACAAGAACTGGGGCCACACCTGTGGGGAACTAAAGAGCAGATGCCCCAATACAAAGGAACTAAAAAAAATTATTCAAGCTCCACATTACTAGCCAAGCCCTGGCCCAGATTCTGCTGAGCCACCAAGTCACCAGTTTGAGCCTGGGGTTTAAGAAGATCAATTAGCAGGTATGACAATCACCCTACAAAAGAAGATGTGGTATGAACAAAGGTGACTGCAGTGGGGGAGAGGAGGGGCTGCAGGAAGGTCACTGCAGCATTCCGGAACATTGCAGGCACACCAGGGATGGGGATGGCCCTGCTTGAAGGGGGAGAGAGGGGGACAAAACAAGGAACAGGAAGAAACACCGCTGGGAGAAGAAACAGTGCTAGTTATGCACATGAAGGCATGTTTGCTGGTCAAGGGAGGGTGGGAGAGACGCAAGGATCCGGGCTGGCTCCAGGGTGAGAGGTGGGAGCAAGAGCCTGCTCCACTCCCAGGGGTGGGGGCATCCAGTGAGAGGCTGTAGAGGGTGGAGGGCCGGCTCAAGATGCCTCAAGCTCATGGTCAGATGGGGACTAGGTCAGCCTGACCAGTTCCCAGAAAACTAAGAACAAACCTTGGTTGAGTTTCTAGGGAACAGAACTTTAAGAACTCTAGGCCTCGAGCCAGAGGGAAAGGACACGAGGCTGAGGAAAGCATTGTGCTGGGTCTCTGAACCAAGGTAAAAGTACAAGGGAGGTAAGTTTGCCTGGGCTCCTCAGGCAGCCTGAATTCCTGGGCCTGGGTCCCCTGCTGTACCCTAAATCTGCCCTGAGGGAGGGCCAAAGGGCTGGCCTGGGGCTGCCACCAGGAGCTGGGTTTCCAGCCCAGAGGGCTTTAAGGTACAGCCAGCCCCTACAATTGTGACCTCAGAAAGAGGCAGGGGGCACTCGGGTGCAGAGGGACAGCCCAGCTGTCTGAAGAGCCATCTTGACTGCAGGTGAGATCCTGAGAGCAGCTGAGGGGTGTTGGAGGATGCTGGCTCAGGGTAACTGGTCTGCTGAGGAAGGCTGTCTCAGGGCCTGTACCAAACCCTAAGGAGAGGCAAGAGTAATCCTCTCTCCTTAAAAGCTTGCAGGCGGCCATCTAGATGCAACAATGGGTCTCTCTTCATCTAGAGCAAAGAAGAATGAAGAAAACCAAAGATGCATGGAAACAATTAGTCCAAGGGACTAGCAGACCATGTGAACCTCAGCCTATATGACCATGAGACCAGAAGAACTAGATGATGCCTGGCTATCACCATCAATCACTGAAAAAGGGATTAGTGCAGGAGATCCTGTATAGAGTGGGAGAACAATGTGGAACAAAACTCAAAATCATAAAAGAGATCAGGCTTACTGGTCTGATAGAGCTTGATGAAACCCCTGAGACTATGGCCCCTGGATACCCTTCAGTCTGGAATTGAACTCACTCCCGTGGCTTCCAGCCAAACAATAGATAGGCATACAGGTGAACATTTACATTAGGTAGATACTCCTTAGAATGATCAATTATGAGAGAACAGAAGGGCCAGATTTGCACAGGAAAATAGCTCAAGGGGGAAGAATCTATAGGAAAGAGGGACACAGGGAAGAGATAAGTACAGGAAGGAAGTGGGGAGAGAGCTGTTACATTGTGGAGAATTGCAGTCAATGTCATGAAATAAAATGTGTATGAACTGTTGTACGGAAAATGAATTTGCTCTGTAAAGTTTCACCCAAATCACAAATAAAAATCTTAAAAAGAAAGAAAAGAAACTGGGCCCTCAGCAAGGCTGGGACTGACCAGTGCCCCAGGAGGGAGGGCCCAGAGGCCTAAGCAGAGGTCAGGAGAGTGGACACCAAGGGTTGAGCAGAGCCTGGGAAGGTGGGAGATGACGGGGCGGGCTGGAGGGAGGGGTGCATTTTGCTTGCCCCCTTCAGCATAGCCCACCGGAAATGGCAGCAGTGAGGGAGACAGGAAAATACCCATAGAGTTCCAATTCTACTTAACTGGGTACAGGCCCCGAGAGGAGTCTGTCTACACAGCCTGGGGTCGGGGGGTTCTTCTGTGAGTCAGGTCATGGTGGACTACCAAGGGAAGCTTGAAAATGAAATGAGCAGAGGGAACAGACTACTTAGGCCAGAAGCCCAGTGGTAAGAAGAGAAGGGGTAGGAGAAATGTGGGGAAGGGTGGTAGAAAAGTGGGGATGCTTGGAGAGCAGGGGAGAGGGGCCAGCACAGGCAGCATTGGGGCCTACATATTCACCAGCCTGGAAGACCAGCTGGCCAGATAAGCCTGTCTCTGAGAAGAGAAAGCCCAAAGACCCCAGGGTAGGGCCTGATGGGCAGTGGGTGGAAACAGCCCCCCAGGATCATTATGTGGCTTCCTCAAAGGGTAAATTCATCCTGCACCCAACTAGAAGGACCCCTCAATGAAGGAGGGTAGGTGTTGAGTCTGAAGCCTGAGGGCACACCCAGGCAGGTGCTGCAGAGGCAGGCCCAGGGGAAGGGAGCCATTGAGGCTGGCTGAACCCCTGAACTACTGCCCTAAGATAATGTTTACAAGCCAAAGGGCCTGAGGCCTCTCCTTGGAATCTGCTGTTCTCTCTCCTCTACTGACCTATGACACCCTCAGGCAGGGGTTGGGGAAGCCAGCCATTCTCCAGCCAGCATCTACCCTTTCTCCTCAGCAGCTTCCCTTGCCCAACATTCAGGCATGCAGTCTCTCCCTCAGCCCTGCAGGCAGCTCTTTCTTGGCTAGCCCCCAAGGACTGCTGGACTGCCCTCAGCTTAGCCAGACTCCCAAACCATGAGCTTAAGCCACGGACCTGCATTAGCAGCCACACACCCTGTATGTGCTTAAAAAGTGTGTACGGCCAAAAGAAATGGATGGTGCCTAGCTATCATTACTGAACGTTTTGATCAAAGAGTCTGTGGAAGAATCCTGATCAAAAGGGGAGAAATGTGGAACAGAATTTCAATTCTCATGGAATCCAGACTTTCTGGAGCCATTGAAGCTGGATGAACCCCTGAACTACTGCCCTAAGTAGTTCTTTAACCATGAGCCCATAAATCAAAAATAGTCCCCACAGCCTTCCTTAAACCAAACAGCCTAGCTTAACTAGTAAATGTGCACTGTGAGCTTTGTGCTATTTTAAAAAAAAAAACCTTACTATAAGGAAGGTTGGGCAATCTAGTTCCGTAATGATACCACCCTGGAAACCCAAACAGGGGTCGCTATGAGTCGGATCCAACTTGATGGCAGTGAGTTTAGACATGGGATCTCTGGTGGTGTAGTGCCTAAGTGACTGCTAACCAGAAGGCTGGCAGTTCAAATCTACCTGCCACTCCTCGAAAGAAGGATTGAGTAATCTACTTCTGTAGAGATACCACCTGGTCTGCTTAACTAGTCCAAGTTCAAAGTGCCAGGCTCTAAGGGCTAGGTGAAAGCCCCTCAACCTTGGAGTACAGCTCTGCCTCCTGCTCCTGGCCCACTGGAGCTAGAGGCATTTCTTCACTCAGACAGCTGCTAGCTGCTGAGACTGAGAAGCCCCAAGGTTGACAAGTAAAAGGGCACAGTCCCGATATTGCCAAACCACATGGCAGGCCACTAACTTAAGTCCATTGTAAGTCCCAACGTCAGCAGAGCATAGCAGACTACTGAGCAAAGACACAGCTACATGCAGGGTCCA